GCAAAACTACCTTCTGCATTTAAGAAGTTATCAATATTCTTACTTAGTCTGGGGAAGCCCAAGCTGTTAAGTGTTTTGCTCCTGTGCAGTTACGTGGGGACTACATCTGGAGCACCGTGCTAAGCCCTTTCCCGTTGCTAATCACGTTATAGGTAAGGGAGGCTAGGCTAAGAGAGAGGAGGTGACTTGTTAATGATTCCTACAGCCACACCCAGAAGCCCCTGCTCTGAACCGCGACAAAGAGCCCGGCTCTGTCGCCCCACTGGATTATCGAACGCGTGGAACGTAAGAAAACTAATAATGCTAAAGAGCGGGCTGAGTACTTAAGAGTGTGCGTCTACTTGTCCCAATCCTTCAAGCTGTCTGATTTCGTTGTAGGGCACAGAAGGAGCTAGAACTGGAGGTCTCCTGTGTAGCAAAAAACACTGCAGACATCATTCCATTTGAATCGCTCTACAACCTTCCAAGGGAGGGGTTTTCTCCCCATTTCACGGATGGGAAAACTGAGCTCAGAGACGTTAAGAGGCCCGCCCCAGTCACAGAGCCTGAGAGCGAGGGCCAGGCCTCGTCCAAAGCCCACGCTCCCTGCCCCGGTGCGGCCTACACCGGGTGTTCGCTTTTCTTCTCAGTTGATGGGAAACTTTCTAGTGGGATTCAGCAGGTCCCGATATGGACCCAGGCCCGTGGCAGCGCCACACCAGGTCCCCACTCCCTGTTTCTAGTCCCCTAGCTTTGATACCGGCCTCACCGGCGGTGCGTGGTCTGTGAGGAGCTCACCGCCAAGGACTGATGTGCGTGTGTCGTGGGAGGAGGGAAGATGAGATATGTCATGAGTCAGGCGGGAGGCAAACCCGCTTGTGTGTGTGGTCGGAGCACGGAAGGCTGAGTGGAAGGCCGCTCACCTTTCTTCGTCTCACTCTCTCTGATCATGAAGGAGCCAATCTTTGTTTCTGGCAGCTGCAGCAGCTCCTCCGCCTTGTCTCTGCCCAGCCCTTCAAACAGCCAGCTGGGGGGTAGGAAGACAGACGTGAGTCTCCTGAGCATAGCCTCCCCCCAAAAAGACACCCGCCTGGAATGTGGACATGAAGAGTGACAGCCAGTTAATAAAACTGTGGGGATTAAAAAGGGGAGGGCGGTTAACTCTTCATCCATTCATACTTTTAATCCTGCAAATAAAATTCCTGAGTGCCTACTGCATGCCAGGTATTACATTGTGGTAATGAGGACACAAAGACGCTATCCCATTCCTCAGACGCCAGCTGGGCTGTGCCCGTTCTGTGTTGTGTAATACATAAGCATTCTACATGTGACAAGGCCCCTATCCAATTGGTAGTTTGTTTAATGTCTGTCTCTCTTGCAGTCTAACTACTCGCCCCCTCCCTCATCACCCCATGAGGGCAGGAGCTGTCTGTCATTTTGGGTTTCGTCTTTGCGTCCAGGTTTTCGGCCTTAGTATATATCTGTGAATGAATGAATGAATGAACACGAGAAAGAAAAAAAAAACGGTGGTGCATAATTCTACCGACTTAGCAAACACCACTTTGCATCCATTACATTTCCTTTTTGTCTTTTCTTTTCACAACACATTTTAAACACAGTTGTCATTGCACTGTGCGTTTACATGTGTTTCTTGCCTTTTTTCACTTAGTAAAAAAATAAAAGCTGTTGTGATATTGTAGCCCAGCCTCCAGTGGAACGTTCGCTTTCCACAGGAGAGCTGACATCTCTGAGAACTTTTTAGAAGGCAGCTGTGCCAAAGGGATCTGTGTTCTTCGTGGAAGGTGCCTTACTCATTCCTCAGAGCAGGCCTGGACACCTCTGTGTGGAAGGACGTGTTTAGCGCTTGGCGGGCGTGTACTCAGAATAATTTGCACATCCTTTTTTAACAGTCCCTGTATTTCAGTGAATGGACCTTGGTCTGAATTAGTGTGTGCCGTGGTAAATATTCATACTCTACTGATTTTGTACCCTTTAACACGCCCCATGGCGGCAAGCAGGTCATTGAAGGGCAGGCTGGGTGCTTCTGAGACAGCACGTGTGCAAAGACCCACAGACATAACATTGAGCGCCATTTATTTATGGACTGGGCTCCCAAATGTTTTGTTGTTAAGATCGCGATTATGCTGTGTTTGGCCAACTAGTTCAACTATTTCCTTAGCTCTACACAATGTATGGCATATGAATTATTTGACAAACATTCATCTCTTCAAATCCTGACATGAAATTCCACTTATAAAAATGAAGACAATACAACAATAACCATAACAAGAGCTGTGTATGAACGCTAAGTGTGGGTCACATACCACATTAAGCACTTGAAATCTAATCATCACATCAACCCCCTAAGACAGGTGGTATTATTTCTTTCTCACCAATGAGGACACTGAGGGTCAGAGTAATTCCTTTGTCCAAGTTACCCCATGTTAGCAACTCATAGAGCTAGAAATGGAATATGTCTTTCTGGGACATCCAATTTCATAATGTCTATGCTGCCCGGCCTCTCTTCCTATTGGATGTTTTAAGGATATTTATTGCAGCAACTAGATTGGAAGCTCCGTAGGGTTGTGATTGCATCTTATTCCTCTGGGCTCCTCTCCACCCCCAGCTCCTGCCAGCTTTCAGCACTGCATCTGCAGCATGGAGGTGTCAGTTCAGGCTTGCTCCATGAGTGAATGGACCAGTGGCCCACAGCTGACTCAGAAGCATCATGTGACTCGTGACTCTTCCAGAGCGTAACTCTCACAGCAGCTATCTCCCCACTTCTGCCTGCCTTCATCACCCTAAGCACAGCAATGGCTTTTGGCATTCATAGTCAAAACCTGTAACGCTGGGATTAAATGCACTGAATTGCATCCTGTGAGATAGTCAGACAGCTATGTCTGCTGCACCAGGAGATGCGGGGCGTGCAAAGTCCTTCTCTGCACGTAAGGAAGTTATTTCTGGGCCCCTTCCCATAAAAGGCATCCACCCCTCCCTTCCTATATAGTGTGCACTTCTTTGCCAAGATCCAGCCTCCGTAGATTGACAGACGAGGAAACTGTGGCTCGAGAGATTAAGTAACTTTTCCAAGGCTCTTCCGTAGAAGGCAGGAGCCGAGCCACCCACACTGCGGCCCTGTGTGCTGGCCTCCAAAGCCACCCACCATGCTGCACGGCCCCTGCCACACCATCACCAGACAGAGCCATGTGCTCGTCTTCTCATCCTCCACGCCTGCTTTATAAACGTTTCTCCTTTTCTGCTTGGCTTCTCCCTTTGTCAATCTTGGGAATGAAAGCATTTGGGGCAGTAAGTGTTCTCTGCGTTCTGGACACGATGTGATAAGAATATAGCTAATAGGTATCGAGTGCTTACAGGCAATGTTCCGAGAACTACCCAGGTTTCACCCCATCTCATTTTCCTAGCAACTCTATACTTGGGTCATGTTATACATTATTATCTCTATCATTCTGCACCATCACCTCTATTTGACAGGCAAGGGAAGGAAAACAATGCACAGAATGTGGAGTGGCTTGCCCACTGTCACATAGCCAGTAAGTGACAGAGGCAGAATTTGAACCTAGACAGAGTGACTTTTAGCCACTGCCCTGCATCCTGTTACAGTTCCTGGGTGTTTACTGCTATGTGCCAGCAACATCGAGTTAGAGTTCAAAGGTCTAACCCCTTCTTCTTACTGATGGGGTAATGCAGTCTTAGCTAGGGGGAGGGGGGCCAACCCAAGGTGGCACCCTCGCTGAACTGAGCTGCCAGTAGAAAGACCCTCTCAAACCAATGTGTTTTCCAACTGTACCATGCTGGCATCTCTGTACGCAAACACAGGAGTCCCTAGTATAAGTATCATGCTTTATTGGCACCACATGAGCATGTACTCACCCATGGTAAACTCTGGCCACACATATTCCAGGGATGTAACTCTCTCGGCCAGTGCTGAGGGAAATGGCTTTCCACCAGCCCCCTTCACTGTAAGAACAAGAACAGGTAGGAAAAGGGTGGACAAGTAAATGGCAAAGCGAATGGATGAAGGAACCGAGTAATCAGATTAAACCCAGGGCACGTTGGGACCTTCTTTTTTAAGATCTATCATTGACCCAAATTTCTCCATATGAAAATTTAGTTTTGAAGTATACCCCTCCCCCTTCCGAGCTGACCAGGAAATCTTCCCACATGCTGACAATAGCACATCACAGAGACCAGCAGCTGATGTTTCAGCTGACGTTCCACATTTGGAGGCTTTTAAAAAATAAATGTTTACTATACCGATTAACACCCTGCGATATAACCAAGATCGTTTCACACGTCTGTATCAACGAGGGTTTACGTAAAAGGGGCTTAGAGCCTTTATTTGTTCTATAGCTTATTTTGAATCGGAGAGAGACAGCAGAATAGCAGGCACTATATTTTGCTTGCCGTCAGAAGTGTTTTCAGACCCCTGAGTCTGCACTGGTGTATAGTATCAACACTGCACATGTGGTGGGAGACAAGGCCAATATGAGAAGCAGAGGTTGGATCATACAGGATCTCAAAAGCCATTAAGGAATTTACATTTTATCCAGGAGGCAATGGGGAGCCGTGGAAGGTTTTAGAGCACCGGCAGCAGTGAGGAGGATTAAGCGTTAAGGACTTCTGTATGGGCCAAATTTCTCTCCTCACAGTAGGGCCAGGGCCCCTAGGGAATTGGATGGCTATAGCTGCCATCTAAGGAGTTCCACCTAAATCAAGTTCATCCTCTCTGAGGGGACTTGTAAAACTTTTGGAAAGCTAACTCACTCAGAAATCACACGCAGTTTCTCCCCTCGGCGAAATATTGGGGGGCTGATGTCAGGAGAAGGGTAATCACTCAGCACAGCCAGGAAGTCGCTGTCCAGTCCTGGGGAGACAAAGGGAAAGGGTGTTCTTTGTCACAAGGAGGGGCAAACGCAAAGAGGGGTCCCTCTTGGGGACTTTTCTGCTAGAGATACCTGACTGGTTTTGAAATAGCAGTTCATAGCAGCCCCTACCCCTCTTCAGGGACA